TGTTGGTGTTGCTCGTGGTGGTGTTGTTGTTGTTGTTGTTGCTGCTGCTGCTGCTGCCCCTGCAGCTTTTTTCTCAGTTCCGTAGTGGCTGCAAAAATCACGGTATTTACCGTGTTTTTTGGGTAGCACCGAGCAAAAACACTGGTATTTACGCAGGTTTCACCATGTTGCAAGATGTAGTTTCTATATCGGAAAAGAACAAAAATACTATAAATTACAATGTTTTGGGTCTGCTCTTAGGGTGCGTGGGGGGCGCGGAGGGGGGGGTGTACTGGGTAACGGGGCTGGCCGCCCTGCCCTTTACTTTGTAAAGCAAAACTCAAAGTAGCCCCACTGGAGCTACCTTTCGTGATATTTGAACGAACCCTGCCAAGCTGGTTTTGATTTTCCGTTCCTTGGGATGCTGCTGACTTGATAACCTTCAAAGCCACACGCGCACCAGTTTTTTGGTCCTGCACGTGCAGAGACGCCGCTGAATCCAGGATACATTTTTGGTAGCCAATCTTCACCTTAGAAATTTATTTCCAATGCAAATGGGCTGAATGAAGCATGTGGCACCTCGACATGTTTTCTTCTTTGGCTGAATGCTTTATCAAGGCCAACGTCGGATTCGGAAACTTCAGCGTCGGATTCGGAAACTCCCAGGCCCTCGGATTCGGAAACTCCCTCCCCCCCGGATTCGGAAACTTTAGCGTCGGATTCGGAAACTTCCAGGCCCTCGGATTCGGAAACTTCCAAGCCCACGGATTCGGAAACTCCCTGGCCCTCGGATTCGGAAACTTCCTGCCCCCCGGATTCGGAAACTTCGAAGCCCACGGATTCGGAAACTTCCAGGCCCTCGGATTCGGAAACTTGCTGCCCCCCGGATTCGGAAACTTCGAAGCCCACGGATTCGGAAACTTCCAGGCCCTCGGATTCGGAAACTTCCAGGCCCTCGGATTCGGAAACTTCAAGGCCCACGGATTCGGAAACTCCGTGGCCCTCGGATTCGGAAACTCCCTGCCCCCCGGATTCGGAAACTTCGAAGCCCGCGGATTCGGAAACTGCCAGGGCGTCGGATTCGGAAACTCGCTGTCCCCCGGATTCGGAAACTTCGAAGACACGGATTCGGAAACTTCCAGGCCCTCGGATTCGGAAACTTCAAGGCCTTCGGATACGGAAAGTTGCGGCTCCCCCCGGATTCGGAAACTTGAATTTGGGATTTAGAAATAGCATTGGTGTGGAAACTCCCAGTGCCGAGATCTCAAAAAAAACAAACTGCATTGTGGAAAAAAGAACATTCCGGATGTAGTTCGTCGGATTGATCTGAAAATGCAAACTGATCTCCTATATGTATAGACTCACTGATGCAATCCGAATGGTTGATCATACACGAATCCAATGTATCCCAATATTGACTGGTGTATTCCAATAGTACTGCGCAAGGCGGTGGCGGAAGTTTCAAAAATAGGAAATCTATAGGCAGGGTGTGCCGGGCATGCCGTAGAATGGGAACCGGACCGAGTGAGAAGAACTCTATGCAAGGGAAGGATTTGCATTGAGGACTACCATTGCATGCAGGGCTTTGGGGGGGGAAGTTTAGAAAATGACTTGCAATCGTGACAAGAACTCTGTGAAAGGGAAGGATGTGCATTGAGGACTACCATTGCATGCAGAGCTTTGGGGGGGGGGAAGTTTAGAAAATGACTTGCAATCGTGACAAGAACTCTGTGAAAGGGAAGGATGTGCATTGAGGATACCATTGCATGCAGAGCTTTGGGGGGGGAGAAGTTTAGAAAAGGACTTGCAATCGTGACAAGAACTCTGTGAAAGGAAAGGATGTGCATTGAGGAATACCATTGTATGCAGAGCTTTGGGGGGGGGAAGTTTAGAAAATGACTTGCAATCGTGACAAGAACTCTGTGAAAGGGAAGGTATGCATTGATGACTACTATTGCATGTAGGGCTTTGGGGGGGGAAGGTTAGAAAATGACTTGCAATGGTGACAAGAACTCTATGCAAGGGAAGAATTTGCATTGAGGAATACCATTGCATGCAGGGCTTTGGGGGGGGGAAGTTTAGAAAATGACTTGCAATGGTGACAAGAACTCTATGAAAGGGAAGGATGTGCATTGAGGAATACCATTGTATGCAGAGCTTTGGGGGGGAAGTTTATAAAAATGACTTGCAACCGTGACAAGAACTCTATGCAAGGGAAGGATGTGCATTGAGGACTACCATTGCATGCAGAGCTTTGGGGGGGGAAGTTTAGAAAATGACTTGCAATGGTGACAAGAACTCTATGAAAGGGAAGGATGTGCATTGAGGACTACCCTTGCATGCAGAGCTTTGGGGGGGGGGAAGTTTAGAAAATGACTTGCAATGGTGACAAGAACTCTATGCAAGGGAAGGATGTGCATTCAGAAATACCATTGCATGCAGAGCTTTTAGGGGGGGAAGTTTAGAAAATGACTTGCAACCGTGACAAGAACTCTGTGAAAAGGAAGGATGTGCATTGAGGAATACCATTGTATGCAGAGCTTTGGGGGGGGGGAATTTAGAAAATGACTTGCAATGGTGACAAGAACTCTATGAAAGGGAAGGATGTGCATTGAGGAATACCATTGTATGCAGAGCTTTGGGGGGGGAAGTTTATAAAAATGACTTGCAACCGTGACAAGAACTCTGTGCAAGGGAAGGATGTGCATTGAGGACTACCATTGCATGCAGAGCTTTGGGGGGGGAAGTTTAGAAAATGACTTGCAAAGGTGACAAGAACTCGATGAAAGGGAAGGATGTGCATTGAGGAATACCATTGTATGCAGAGCTTGGGGGGGGAAGTTTAGAAAATGACTTGCAATGGTGACAAGAACTCTATGCAAGGGAAGGATGCGCATTCAGAAATACCATTGCATGCAGAGCTTTCGGGTGGGAAGTTTAGAAAATGACTTGCAATGGTGACAAGAACTCTATGCAAGGGAAGGATGCGCATTCAGAAATACCATGGCATGCAGAGCTTTTCGGGGGGGAAGTTTAGAAAATGACTTGCAATCGTGACAAGAACTCTGTGAAAGGGAAGGATGTGCATTGAGGACTACCATTGCATGTCGAGCTTTGGGGGGGGGAAGTTTAGAAAATGACTTGCAATCGTGACAAGAACTCTGTGAAAGGGAAGGATGTGCATTGAGGACTACCATTGCATGCAGAGCTTTGGGGGGGGGGAAGTTATAAAAATGACTTGCAATCGTGACAAGAACTCTGTGAAAGGGAAGGATGTGCATTGAGGACTACCATTGCATGCAGAGCTTTGGGGGGGGAGAAGTTTAGAAAAGGACTTGCAATCGTGACAAGAACTCTGTGAAAGGAAAGGATGTGCATTGAGGAATACCATTGTATGCAGAGCTTTGGGGGGGGGAAGTTTAGAAAATGACTTGCAATCGTGACAAGAACTCTGTGAAAGGGAAGGTATGCATTGATGACTACTATTGCATGTAGGGCTTTGGGGGGGAAGTTTAGAAAATGACTTGCAATGGTGACAAGAACTCTATGCAAGGGAAGGATTTGCATTGAGGAATACCATTGCATGCAGGGCTTTGGGGGGGGGGAAGTTTATAAAAAGACTTGCAACCGTGAGAAGAACTCTATGCAAGGGAAGGATGTGCATTGAGGAATACCATCGTATGCAGAGCTTTGGGGGGGGGGAAATTTAGAAAATGACTTGCAATGGTGACAAGAACTCTATGCAAGGGAAGGATGCGCATTCAGAAATACCATTGCATGCAGAGCTTTTCGGGGGGGAAGTTTAGAAAATCACTTGCAATCTTGACAAGAACTCTATGAAAGGGAAGGATGTGCATTGAGGAATACCATTGTATGCAGAGCTTTGGGGGGGGAAGTTTATAAAAATGACTTGCAACCGTGAGAAGAACTCTATGCAAGGGAAGGATGTGCATTGAGGACTACCATTGCATGCAGAGCTTTGGGGGGGAGGGGAAGTTTAGAAAATGACTTGCAATCGTGACAAGAACTCTGTGAAAGGGAAGGATGTGCATTGAGGACTACCATTGCATGCAGAGCTTTGGGGGGGGGGAAGTTTAGAAAATGACTTGCAATCGTGACAAGAACTCTGTGCAAGGGAAGGATGTGCATTGAGGAATACCATTGCATGCAGAGCTTTGGGGGGGGAAGTTTAGAAAATGACTTGCAATCGTGACAAGAACTCTGTGAAAGGGAAGGTATGCATTGATGACTACTATTGCATGTAGGGCTTTGGGGGGGAAGTTTATAAAAAGACTTGCAACCGTGAGAAGAACTCTATGCAAGGGAAGGATGTGCATTGAGGAATACCATTGCATGCAGAGCTTTGGGGGGGGGGGAAGTTTAGAAAATGACTTGGAATCTTGATAAGAACTCTATGCAAGGGAAGGATGCGGGACAGGGTGGAGTTGCTGAATCGGGACAGGGTGGAGTTGCTGAATCGGGACAGGGTGGAGTTGCTGAATCGGGACAGGGTGGAGTTGCTGAATCGGGACAGGGGGGAGTTGCTGAATCGGGACAGGGTGGAGTTGCTGAATCGGGACAGGGTGGAGTTGCTGAATCGGGACAGGGTGGAGTTGCTGAATCGGGACAGGGTGCTGAATCGGGACAGGGTGGAGTTGCTGAATCGGAACAGGGTGGAGTTGCTGAATCGGGACGGGGTGGAGTTGCTGAATCGGGACAGGGTGGAGTTGCTGAATCGGGACAGGGTGGAGTTGCTGAATCGGGACAGGGTGGAGTTGCTGAATCGGGACAGGGTGGAGTTGCTGAATCGGGACAGGGTGGAGTTGCTGAATCGGGACAGGGTGGAGTTGCTGAATCGGGACAGGGTGGAGTTGCTGAATCGGAACAGGGTGGAGTTGCTGAATCGGGACAGGGTGGAGTTGCTGAATCGGGACAACCCGGAGTTTCTGAATCCTTGGAGTTTCTGAATCGGAGTTGCTGAATCGGAGTTGCTGAATCGGGCAAAGTTTCTGAATCGTAATTTATTCATAATGGGCTCCTGCAGCGTGTCTTTCCGCTGCCCTCTCAGCCCAAGTAGCTGGAAGTTCCCCTGCTTCTCGGAGAAGCATCAAACACAGCTGCTCCTCGGCCCGGTGAGTCAAAGAATGACCATCGGGGTTGATTTATATGGAAATCCCTCGTTATGCATTTGTGACATCTATAAACAAATAAATAAATACGTATATTATGGATATACATATACATATTATTGATAACATATTATTGATAATATAGATATAGCATGGATAACATATATATATATATATTCTGTATACAATGCCATACATAGGCAAGCACCAGCTTTATTCTAACCTCTTACCTCTGCAGGAGGACAGGCCCAACGGTGCACATCGTCGGACGTTCTGCCCACGTTCTGAGAACGCGAACCCCCCAAGTGCGACCCTGATCGATGGCATTGCGCAGGATAGCGCCCAGCAGAGGTATGTGCAGACCTGCCAGGTTCACAAATTGCCAGACCTGTTCACAGGAAAATGATGGACAATGGATGTTTATCTAACATCCAAAATGGGAAGTTCACCATCTTTCTTGGGTGTTTTTATTTTGAGTTGAGAAAATAGAGATGTCTTAAGGGTCACCCTGGTACCATTCTTCACACCCAAAATGGTCCAAGAATGTCCCCCTATGGATTATCATCGTGTTCCCCATTGCAATGGCTATTTAAGGCGAGATTTCCATGTTTGAAGAAACCCTAATTTATCATGGTGTTCGTGGTGAGTCAACTATGTCAACTCTATTCCCACTACATTTCCCCATATTCTATCCATATGTTTCGTTGGTTGAGTCCCACATTCAGAAATTCATGTGCCTTTCGGTAATCAAACATGACAATTGAAAAATATTGAAAATCCCCAAAACATCATCTATAAATATTGGAAATCCCCAAAACATCATCTATAAATGTTATAAATGGTAGATTTTCCAGCCAGCCATGTTTGACTTTTGGAGCCTTGGCTTCGTCTGAGCCGGGCATAGACTTCGGCGAAGCATCCACAGCCTTGGATGCAGGACATGACAACCTGAAGCTGTTTTGGAAAGGAAACCATGGGTCAATGGTTGGATTATATATGTTGAATTTAAGGGAAATGTGATAATATTTATAGGAAACCGTGGGTAAACAAAACCCTGAAACCATGGGCTTTCCAGCAGATTTTCCTGGCTCCCCGACGAACCGGGCCCGGCTTGGACGCTTCCCTCAAGAGGGGCCTAAGTTGAGCTGAGCGGATTTTGTTGTCAGGTGGCACTTTTGGGGACCCCACTTTGGTCAGTCTGACATTTTGGGTGCCCACTTGACATGGTTTGATCATATCTTTTTTGGTGAATTATGGCACATTCCAATCTTGTTTCCATCACTTGCAGGGTGGAGTTTGGGTCACACGGCCTTTTCTAATGATCAAGTTCCTGGAAAGCATCCATTGAATCAGTGAGCCGCTGGCACCAGCAAGTCCCTTAAATGGTGTCGCCCTTCAGATCCCAGACGTTGGGACAGCCACAGTGATACAGGAAATCATCTAAGTGCATCCTTAATATTGACATCTCCCAAATCGGTGCCTCCCAAGAGCGGGTGCAATTTAGAACTGGGAAACTCATGCATTTACCATTTTGGAACAGCATCCAAAAAACCTGACCAACCATTTCTTTCAGCATCCATTCTCAACCACCAGTGCCACAAACCCCAGATGATCAACACCAGAATATGGACATCTTATCCCAATATCAACCAGTCGGAAAAATATGGAAAAATAATCTATCACCACAATTTCATGATCATTCCATTTGAGCGATCTGAAGAATCATCCATTTACGACTTAGATGGACCTAGATATACGTAGTGTTTTCACCCATCACAACCCCCGAAAATGATCTCAAAAATGATCTAGTATGATCTAGTAAACTATCAAAATCCATAAAAAAATGGAACTATCAAAATCCCTAAAAAATGGAATAGTGATGAATAGTGTTACCCTCTGGTAAACATACAAAAAACTATGGAAAATCACCATGTTCAATGGGAAAATCCACTATAAATGGTGATTTTCAATAGCTTTTTGTTAAATTACCAGAGGGTAATAGTGAGTTGTCCCCTTTCCCATCTTTCTCCATGTCCAAGGTGCAGCCACCGCTCTGTGACCGCTGCCCGTGTGGGGGACCCCTTCGGGGAGCGCGGGGAAGCCGCTTCGAAGCAGCTACAAAGGCGATCCACCTGCAGAGGCAGCTGAGGATAGCTGAGGCAGCGGAAAGAATGGGGGAATGATGGGGGAATGATCCATAAATCACTAACAATCATGCCATTCTAAAATCATTCTCTGCTCAGTAAGACTTTCTCAAATTTAAGTTTAGATCTGGGTTTTGTGACTTTCTGGAAGCTTAAAAATTGGATTTGATGGCATTTCATGTGGATAGAACGGCATCTCACCAACAGTTGTGGGTAATGGGTGTGTCCATAAATGGCCATTTTAGTGGGGATAATGATGATACTGGATACAGAGATGGACATAGCTGATATAAGGATTTTATGTCATTATGACATATATAGCTTGTATGTGTATGAGTATGCATATGTGTATGTGACAGTGTGTGTGTGTATGTATATAGTGTATACATATATATATAGGACATAGGCATATAGCTGCAGGAAATGGATTGGTTCAAGGGCAATGCTACATGAAAACATGGTTTTCACACTCAGGCAAAAGGGCAAGTCCTGTGGATATAACTGGGGATGTCCTATGGAAAGATTTTGTCGAAATGGACATAGACGAGTATAGCTATGGATCTAGATATACATGTTATATACGGATATATGATGTGGACATGCAAATAGAAAGATATATGAAAGATTTGCAACTATGAATTTTAAAGATGCTAAGAATCTTCGAATTGTCACTGGTTACTTGGAGGATCATCCCACTTCGAAAGTCCCCAGTGGCTTATCCATGGCTGCCCCTGCCCCGATTGCGTACCAGTTCTCCCAGCAGCTCGCGGCGGTCCGGTCCGCCCCAAGGCTCGGCAACACCTCTCCTGGGGGTACATCAATCAATGGCTGGATGGTTGATTTCATGGAAAAACCTACTATAAATGGAGGTTTCTAGCTGGGAAAATCCACTATAAATGGGCCATTTTCAATAGCTATGTTAAATAACCAGAGGGTAAATGGAATGATGATTTACGCGTACCCCATGACTCTATTGAAACCTCCATGCGATGATGGATATATGTCATGATATCCGATAGAACATTGATATACAGTAACTAAAGAACACTATGAGACTATGAGATGAGATGAAGAATTCGCACTATTTGGAAGACTCCTAATTGATGAACTGGGATTTCATGTGGTTTTATGACATTGTGTGTGTCTAGTACTGATTGTGGTTGAGGTTATGAGAGACAATTTTTGGTTTCATTCTGGTTATCATGATTCTGGTTGTGGTGGTTGACGGTGATGGTTCTGGTTGTGGTTGTGGTGGTGATAGTGGCGACTGCAATTCGGGAGCACACCGTGCTAGCAATAAGCAATTCTAGACTTTGGCATGTGCAATGCCCTTCACACATCTTCATTGTTCCTCTGGCCACTTCTATTCCGGTCTTTCCCACCGCAACAAAAATCACAAAACTGATTCTCAAAACTGCGGATTTCCCTCCAAATTTTGTGGGGATTTTGAAGCCAGCCCCAAAAAGCCGGTAGATCCCTCCATCCCACGACCAGGTGTCCCCAGGCATCCGCACGCCCGCCGACGATCCAAGGCTTCATGAAGGCCGTTGCCTCGGGTGGTGCTTCAACATGTGGGTTTTGTTAGACAAGGAAAATGGTGATTCAACTTTTGGAAAACTGGAACGACACAACTGTTCAGTTGATTTTTGGGGTTTCTATGGGCTTTTTGACAAGGAAAATCTGGGGATGAAGGGTGGAAAACATGAAGAATGGAGAGTTGACCATGAATGATAGGGCTTACTGACTGGCCAACAGCAACAACGAAAACAAAAATAACAACCACCCGGATAAGCAATAACCGTGGGGTTTAAGCTGTTGGGTTAGATGTTTGTCCAACAAGAATTTGTAAATGACCCATCAAAAAAGCAACAAACTACAGGATGGGTCAGAGAACTCGATTCGAAAAATGACCACCCAATCAGCGGCTTCGAAGGGGTTTTAAGTCTCCCTATATACCAACAAAAACCTATCCCCAGTTCTACCAGAACTGGATGGTAACCGTTCCCAGTTGGAGGTTTCTGGTACTGGTACGACTGGGGATGGTCCATCCCACATGGCAATTTTCACATTACACGAGCCATGCCCCTATCCCATCCCATTAGGTAAGCAAACACATTCCCCGTTTTTGGCGTTCGGATCGTCTCTGGGAAAAAGAACTTCGTAGAACTTTGCAGAACCAATCAATTTCATCATTTATCAACTAGATCTCCATATCTTGGATGAATAAACCACTTACCACCCCCAATGATGTTGAAATCCCCATAACCGGCATGACCGGCATAACCGGCATAATCAACCAGGGCTATCCCACAGTTTTCGTCCAAGTCTCTGATGCCCATCATGGCTTTGAACTCCTCCGGCCTGGACATGTACTGGGATTATCATGTGGAACTCTCATAGGGATTTAACGGAAAATCTACGGAGAAGACCATGGGAATATATCAATATATATATATATCATAGATTTCATACACATAACATCAGCTCTATATATATAAATAATCATAATCATCATCATCATCATCATCATCATCATCATCATCATCATCATCATCATCATCTATATATATATAATCATATAACTGCACATAGTATAATATACACCTACATTCGCAAACAAACCCCGTTCTCCAGAGTATCCCAGGATCCCCGACCCGTTGTTCAGCAACCTTTGTCGACCTCGGGATGTGATGTCTGGCTTAAACCATCTGCCAATTGGCTCATCGTCTCCTGTTATATCCACATTATACATGTTTATATATATATATCATTATATATATAATTATATATAATATTACATATGTTGTAATGCATACTTTATATACCTATCATATACATATTATATAATTACATATGTTGTATGTACACGTGTTATACTTTACTATACTTTACTATGTTTTACCATTCTATCATATATATATATATATCATAGTATATCATATTATTATATCCCAAAAATGACTGTCCCATCTCCCATCTTCTCCCACCCCTTGAGCTCCGCTGCCACTTCTGGAGGGAGGTTCTCCACATCCCAGACCTGTCGCTGCCACAGATCTTGGGATCCAAACTGACCATGTTTCTATCGGTTCCCAACGAAAAACGGCTATAGTAATAGGTCAATAGGTGTAGTAACCCCTAAAAGATCGGAAAGATTTCGAAAAAGTTAAAATTACCCAAGTTTTAGTGGGCACTTTTCTGAGTTGTAGTGATAATATACTTTTCTAGTTGCTTTGGGGGTTGCTATAGACTATCACTCAATATGTTTGATTGCATCCCCATTTGGGCAAAATCCCCACTATTGCAGGTGAATATCCCCCAGTTGGGCATCCCCTGAGCTTGCGACAGACCCACATCGCAGCGGTCTGACCTTGGGTGCAAAAACCAAACAGCTGCCCCGGATGAAATCCACGGTCCAGCAGGCTTCCGTCACTCCCAAAATTGTGTGGATGGTTTAAGTTTAATACCAATATCTATATATATATATAGTATATATATATACAGTATGTATACAGTATATATATATATATACAGTATGTATACAGTGTATATATATATATACATATAGTATACAGTATATATATATACATAATATAGTATACAGTATATATATATATACACCAATTTTATGCCCAGCCGTGCCTCTGTTCCCAAACTTTGACCATGATCCATGGCCTATCCCATCGCCAGAGCTGGGTGGTCAAACCGTGATCGTCCGTCAAGGACGCATCCGCACCGGCCGCCAGCAGGCGACGAGAACAGCCCAGGCTTCCAGTGAGCCTGGCCATGCGGTGCCACAAATTTACCCATGGTAAATTGATTGCCATGAAAATTCAGATTGGGTTTCAAATAAATTAAGATTGGGTTTCCCATGATTATTGCCACAAAATTTAATCATGTTACAAATAAATTGGCAAAAAATATGAAAACAAACAAATTGAAGATCGGATTTGGATGGTTTTTCCCCGACATGTTTGGACAACCTCAGTTCTATTGAGGACAACTACCCCAGGGTCCCCCACGCAGCGAGCATCAAGGGCGTGATTCCTGGGTGTCAGCTTGGGGTGTAACGAAAACAATTCCAGGAATGGCTGGTGCTGGGACCTGGGATGATTCTTTTAACTGTAAAATAGACGGATCGGATTTGTGAAAATTGTACCTGCATATCATAATGTGTATATATATATACATGTATATATATATATTATACATATTATATATATATTTATATACACTCACATAGTTGATTTATGCGTCAATGGCCAATAATATCTGAATCTCTTTGTTGAACGTGAAGTCGAGCTGTCCAGAATCGAGCCATGTCAGTGCAACCTCATTCCACCAGATGTGTCAAACATGTTTCATGCATCCTTCCAGGTGAATCTCTCAGCATATCGTGGAACTGTGTGCATATGTTTCCTCACCATATTGATGCAGCCACAGCGGAACAATTCAAACGTTCCTCAAACTGTAGGGCTACACCGGGTACACTATGTCTCAAAATTGAATAAAATTGACCCATCACCACTCAAGAACTCTTGTTTAGCTCTTAACTTCTTTGGGGTTCCTTATTATCCACATGTCCTGGTTTCTAACAATTCACCTCTGAATAGTTCGGTCACCACTAAGGATCTACTGATGTACGTCACCCGGTGTGTGACTGAACGAATCAACGCAACATGAAATGAACATCATTTATGGTCAATATCCACATCATCCCACTGTAAGAATTATGTTTTATATTTCTGTCATATCCAATCCTCAATATGATGTGTTTATATGTTTTAATATATTCAACCCATCCCAATCATCCCATTTGTGGTTCATATGAACGGCTCAGGTCCAGACCCCTCTGTGCCAATGCATCCACCGAAGCCCGGGCCGCCAGCAACGTACTGACCTCGGGACCAACCTTTGTGACCAACTGGGACGTTGCGAAGCGGAAAGCGAGAAAAACATGGAACAAGATCAAGAAGGTTCTTTATGATCCATTTATGATACATTTATGATTTTTAATGGGGTTTAGCATGGTCTAACCCTTGAATAAACCATCCCACAATTTCGTGAGAAATAACTAGATGGTATCAACTATCCCCAATTGGACGGTGAATTATTGGGCCCAAGGTCTGCATCACTGTGGCACTCGACTCACCCTGCTTTTGGTTGCCATTTGATCAACTACTTTAACGGAGGGCAGTGGGCCATGTTTACCAATCAAATCAAACCCTGAAATGACTATTGCAAATGATTCTTGACCCGCAGGAACTAATTTTTTTTCTGGTTCCACCGGGAAAGGATCCAATGTTTGAGCCGTAGCCAACAAAAATGGGTCCTGAAGGTCCCAATTTTTGCTGGTGCCGATCTCCAATCAACTTCCCAACTGAAGCTTCGACTGCTTCTTCAGATCCAGCAAACGCTGCATAGTGCAGTGCCGTGAGCTCTTCCTGTTTGGCAAGGTCCAGATTACAAGGTCCCATGAAGACACTTTGCACAGCCTGTTTGTGGATTTTTGTTGTGTGATCATTAGGTGTTCAGTTTTTGCCATTTGGGGCATCGGTTTCTTCAAGAGTGGCTCCCTTTGGATGTGCTGATGGTTTTTGGCCATCAAAATCATCAGACTCTAGGAGAGCTCAGCCAAAATGATGCGTCAATGATCATCAATGAAGAGATTTTGAAAGACAAGACTCTGCGCAGGCTGGATCAAATTCCCAAGACTTCACAGATATAATAGTTTTTAATAGATATACCAAAAATAACTTTTAAAAAAATGCTCAAATACATAGTCAAATTCCATCAAACATCTGTCCAAAATCCAAAAACGCATCAAAATCATGATATCATTTGACATTAATGTGGTTAAAACAATAATAAACCACCCCCAAATTTGATGGTCTATACCATTTATGGTGATTTTGGGGATGGTTTACTATTGTTTTAACCACATTATGACGTTAAAGAAAGATGTTTTCCACACACATCACCTCCATCACTTCCATCGCCCCACCTGGTCTGCCCGGAATGAAATGCCCACATCGAGCAGTCGATGGAGTACCTGGCCCAATCATGCCAATCCGCACCCAAAAGCCGAGAAAACACACGAAAATCATGGAGATCAACAAGATGTTACATGATATATCAATATATAATATACGTGTATATATATATATATTTATTATTAAGTGAGTTGATGTGATTTGTCAGATGCATTTCTTTCATTTTTCTTTCTAAGATCCATATCCACGGATTGGGATTCATTGATTCCATCGCCTTGGAAGCTTTTGGCTCCGCTACGACGCTCATGGCCGCATACTCCTGAGCCACGGGTGACGGCCTTGGCCTTCCTATCGACCAATCCAGGAACACAGAGGTCGATCAAGCTTAAAACAACTTCAATATACATGATATAATATCATATATATATATATATATATCATATAATACATAATATAATGGAACACAGAGGTTATCTTTTCTGAGCACTGCCCTGACTTTGTAATCCCAGCTTTCGCGAAGCTTTCGCCGAAGCTTTTTCTACGAAAAAACATGGAGATTTGGAGCGCTGCATCTGTCGAAGCCAAGGCACCAAGACGCTTCTGCCTGCTTCGTCACAGCAGCTCTCACCCACTTCCAGCACTTCCGATGGACCCATGGCCTAAAAAGCGACGCGCCGCTGAAACGTTTCTGTGGCAAAGCAGTGACAAGAACAAAGATATACAAAGGTCAGAAAGGTGAAAAGAAAGGTGAAAAGAATCAGGAGCAAGATGAGGGGGTCGCAAGTTTTGATCATTGATCCAATTGATGATCTCATATCTTTCAAATCTGAAGACTTCCGAGTGCCCGGCGTCCAAGGTCTCTGCCACCCAGTCCCATTTACCAAAGCTGGCGCGTCTCAGCACCTGGAAAGGGACAGCGATGTTTCGATGACTTTTCCCATCAAAATATGGCTGGGAAATCCCTAAATGGACATGTTTCAATGGGAAAACTATCTATAAAATTCTATAAAAATCTATAAATATTTATAAATATATATATATATATAAATCTATAAATATCTATATATATATATAATTATATAGATAAATATAGGGATTGCCCATGTGCCATGTTTCTTCTGACCGGGTAAATGGAGGTGCTGCCCAGCTGAGAGTTCATCAGCACCTCTTCGGACAGCCATCCGACGAGTTCCGAACCAACCTCGGTCGTTGATGGGATCGACAGCTGTCGGCTTTACCCTAATATGGGATACACCATGGTACACCTATACACATAGGTTATTCTAGCAACATGGAACCATCCATTCTTGGACCCCGTCAAAACCAAAGGTCTTTGCAAAGGCCACTTGCAGTAGAACCAAAGGCGACAGGCGACGTGTCCCATTTTCCCTTCCAGCCACACAGGGTCATCTCCAGCGAGGTTGCACAAAGGGTTCAAATGTTGCACTCCCATCAGCAGCGAAAAGCAATCCTATCTAATCCTATCTAATCCTACCATCCTAATGTCATCCAAGGTCATCAAAAGTCTGCCCAGGAATGCTGCTTTGAGCAAATGGGGGCAGAATCAGTGCACGAAACGCCAAACGGACGTGCCCAGGATGCCCAATCTGCACTCATCCTCAGTGTTTTGAGCACATGGAATGAGATGTGGACAGGGTCCAAGAGAGATTTGGTGGGAAAGTTGTAATTTGGTCTGTTGAGAACACCAAGGAGATTTCTGATACAACATTCCAGTGGCTTCCACAGATATACTGGCTTATCTAGAAATATTATGAAAAATATTGCTATTTCAATTGTAAGACCATGTAAAACCATTGGAAAAAAATGAAGAAAAAGATGATAAATCAGTTTCGGACGTTTTCCCCGAGATTTTTTGGGGTCCAACCTGCTTTTTCAGCAAGGTACCACCTTAGTCCATCGGATGAGCTCCTTGATCCAGACCACCATGCGGCCACGCAACGCCACGAAGCCACTCTGCGGCCTGGCGTTGCTGTTCACCAGCAGCACGCCATCCTTTGGTCCTGGCGCCAGAGACCTGGATGGGAGATAGGCTTGCTGGAGGGGTAAACCACTCGAAATTTCTCGAAATCAACAACCCATTGGGGATGATACTCTAATATAATTTATAAGCTATCCCATTTATTTAGTAAGATTGGTATAGATTGGCGAGGGTTTATATAATATATATAATTGGCACCACAAAATCAGCCTGCTCAGCCTCCAGAAATCACATGGCCGGTTTTCACAACATCCGTGGCTCCTAGGCTGGTGGCCGACACGCCCGCCATCCAGGGCCACTTTCTGAAGGGCTTCAAGCTTTTGCCCTTCGCTCCCCGAAGGATGTTTCCTCAGATCCAACAGTGCAACAGGGTGAGTTTTTTGGAGACCAGTCAAGACCAATGGTGAACTTGTTCCAGGGTGGAAATACCATAGAACGTCATCAAATTAAGGAAAACGAGAGAAAACGGAGGGTCAACACTGTCGAAGACCCAACCAGGAAGTGAAGCTGCAGAGTCTCTAGCTGCGTGCGCTGCCATCTCTTCGGCTGGGAAGGAATTCTTGGGCAAAGGATCAATGCCCGGCACCTGCCAACCAACATGATCCAACATGTTTTTTGCAGTATCAAAATCGATCAAACGTTCTAAATCCATTTACCCTCTGGTAATTTAACATAGCTATTGAAAATTGTCATTTATAGTTGATTTTCCCATTAAAAATGGTGATTTTCCATAGCTATGTTAGTTTACCAGAGGGTAATCTGGTTTCCCAAAAAATTGAGCCATACACAAATCATTGTGCCCCCGTCGCCTGGCCAGCGCAGCTGCCGATGGCAAAAATCTGTCCATCCGCGAAGGGAACTGCGTCATCCTCCGAACTTTAAAGGTAACTTGGTTAACCAACTATGGGAATATAATTATACAGTAGCTTAATTAATAGTTTATATAACATAATATTACTATATATAGCTAATGGATGCTAATGGTTAATGCTTCGTCAATGGTTAATTAACTATAGGATATAACTATGGTTTATGGGGGAGATAACAATAGTTAACGGGGTTTATAAACCAACTTCAACCTAGACCTCACCTTTTGGCCAGAATTGGATCATTAGACGTCACAAGGTCTTGGGTCGGCGTTTGAAGAGACTCTGTTCGTCGATTTTCCCAATGCCTGCACCTGCAAACCTGCACTGTTCTTGTGTCAAACGCAATAAACTGGAACAGACCTAATTTTACCAGTTAGGTCATGTTAGGTCAGTTAGGTCATAAATCTTATGAATTGATATGAATTGATATGAATTTGCGTTGAAAATCTCAGGTTCACCACACAAGTCATCCCGCCCTCCTGAGATCCATTGGCAATCTGCAAGCTCCTCAGCTTTCACCGGAAAAGTTTCATTTTCGACCCCCAGCGAAATATTTGGAAAAACAGTTGCAGTACCCAACATTTATTGGATCCATTGAATAATGTAGGCTACTATTATTTTCATTCTGAGATGCCTTGGATGTTTAGCCATTTCAACCCCAAGCAAAGCTGGCCCAACCAGCCATTCGCCACGTCTCCGCATGAGCTTCACATAGCCCTTCTCCGTCAAACAGCTTTTGGGTAAAAAGTCGCATTGCCTGCGATTCGGCGATTCGAGACATCACCAATTTTGAGCCACCAAAATAGGTATCATCACAGACCAAAATAGGATCCATTGGGATGGTGACCTTAAAGGGAAAACCGGAACTGCGGCCTGACCACAGTTATCTGACCTCCAAATGTAGGGAACATGGCACATTCTCCTTTCATCTCCTTTCAACCAGTTCTGGGGAAAGGAGCTATGACTGGGATAGGGCCTCTAGATGTCCAACCCATCACTGCAGAGTTTGGTGATTTTCCAACATGAAATCATCCTACGATTTAAAGGTGCCTCGGTTTTGACCCAAGCACATCAAATGTGGCTTATGAAAGTGATGAAAACCGGGGACAAACAAAAAAAATGTCATGGTGAATCATCATGGTGAATCATGAGTTGTCCCAGTCACCCAGTCCCATAGCCGAGCTACGCTGCCATGCCAACGCTTTTGAAGACCCGCGCCGGAACGGCTCGTCCCAGGCCGGACCAGAACGCCGCCTTCCGGATCCCGGCGGACTCGGACGACTCGGACTCGGAGTAGGTGGTCTTGTAATAGGTCCTGAATGACCAAGGTACTGCCACGAATGTAAGGATTTTTATGGGAGTTTACCAGCCAAAAATGGTGAGTTCATGGGATTTTTCCATGAGATTCTTAGTGGGATTTAATGGGATATAGTGGGATTTGTTTATACGTTTACGATGTGAATAAAACGACCATGAAAGTACATAATTAAATCCTTTTTCGAACGGGAAACCATGTTTTTTTGCATCTATGTTAATTTCCCCTCAGGGAAATTCCAATAAGTAGGGTTTATGGTAGATCTATCGACAATATTCTATAGTTGTTACAAACCAACTTACAACTGGGGGGCACCACCTTATAGAAACATATAGAAACCATCAGCTCATGATGGTTGGGTACCAATCAGCCCATTGACAGGTCGGATGAGTGATGGATTCATCGGGTGATGCTAAAGCTGGGGTGCTGCATTCCATTCAAAAACAACCGACAGGGACATAGCAAAGTCGCACCAAGCAAATCCCAACAGCGAGCAGCGAGCTTCTGAACTATCCAGAAATGTTCACTATGCCGTATGCCTGAATCAAAACCAAAATCGTAACGTACACACAGAACTGATGAGACTCCAAACTACTCCCTTCTTCCAAGATGTGTTCTTCATTTCTTCCCAGCCTTTTGACAAGTTTCGTGATGTTGTGCTGATCAAAATATCTCTGGATATAGTCTTGTGCCCCTTTGGGCATGGAAGGCACACAGCCTTCGCTGCTGCTGACTACACTGATCTCCAGGGATGGAAAGAAGTACCGCAGCTCTGCCGCAAACTCCACCTATGGCGCGCAAGCGCTGGCCGCTGGCCATTGTTGGCCATAGGCCATAGGGCCATAGGGCCATAGGGATCTGAATGAACCAGATTTGAAGTACCAATCAATCCGAAATCAGCCATTTTGAGCCATGTTTTCCCTTGCAAAGCCATCAAATATGATCAGCTTTGTTGTAAAGTCGTTGTCCAGAAACGATGGGGGTCGCCACTAAGGCCAAGCTGCCCCAACGAAGCCAGCACCAATCACCGCCACATGCGCTCCACGCTCGTCCAGTTCTTTTAGATTTCGATATTCCTCGGTGCAGAATGGCCATCCTTCGATCATCAAACATGGCAGGAAATGCCCCAACAAATGGTGGTCTTAGCTGGACAATAATCCGAAAGTTGGGGATCGTCCATTGCAAAACACACTGGTGGCGTTACGCAAAAGAAACCATATCATCACGTGACATTGTCATGTGGTCATTCCAAGAAACTCTCTCTGCTACCCAGCATCTTCTTCGATCTGTTGTTGCCTGCCTTCCAGGCACTTTGGATCCGCTCCCCTCGCAACATCGGTCATAAAGTGAATGATCAGCAGGCATATGAGCATTGTGTGTGCGCTCTTCGCAGAGACATTGCCCAGCGAAACAGCGAAACAGCGAAACCATGGGTAGGGAGAATTCTTCTGCACTCCAAGAGGCCATCACTATATATTTTATATATTTTATATATAGCTATATATAGTTATATATATGATATAATATATATATATACCATAGAATTTCCCGTGTCAAGAACCAACCAAGCGTCTAGCCCAGTGCGTGACCTGTCTTCCCGGAGCCTGGTTGCATTCGCACTGGGAGAAATTGTCCAAAGGTCGCCATGATCACAACCGGCTGCCACAACGCAGAAGTCCTCACAAACCAGGACCCCATCATTGAACACCCTATAAACCATAAATATACATATAGAATTATATATGTATGTATCTGCATATGCATATCTCTATCTATATCTATATCTATAGTTATATGACAATACATATATATATAGAAAGAAAAAAAAACACCAAACATCACCAAACCAGGTTTTCCGCAAAGGTTGCTTGAATTTGTTATGTCTGAGGCACCTTATTTCTGGGGTGACTTTCTCTTGGTGATAAGCAACGACCCCAGAGGATGCACAATGGACCAACAACCGAAGAAAATTGTAACTGATAAACCATAAAACCGGAATTTTACTTGGATAGTCAATTATAATTGACCATTACTATGGATAGTCAATTGTAGTTTATCCAAGTTGGAAAATCCATTTCTCCGGGACCCAAAACTCCATTTCTCCATTGCCAGTTGGGGGAATCATATATTTTCCAAGACCAGCTGCATACGGAAGAGGCCGCAAGTCAGCTCCTTTGGCCGGTTGAACCAGGACCTGCCACTGGCTGCTGAACTACAAAAATGCGAAGTTTCCCAAAATGCCGGCAAGTTCTCTCTGTAAACACCACAACATAATTTTCTCTTTGGATGTTCATCTACTTGAGACATCCTCAAATATCACTAGTAATTATTCTCGGGCATCTTATATTCATGTAAGGATATATATCAGTTTGTTCAGTCCTTTGGATTAAACATGATTAAACATTCTAGATGTTACAAGTAATGAGGCTCAGATGAATATCAAACATGATATACATTCATATATATATATATACATATATTACATAATGTTTGATATATTACATCCATATATTGTATATATATATATCACCATATTGTTATACTAATAATGTGATATTCATCATATAATGTTTGATATATTCATGTTTGACCTGTATATATACATATATATATATACTATATCAAACATGATGAATATGAATGTAATATATATGAATAATGATCATATTATATATCATATACAATATATATATAGAGATATACTAATGATGAATATCACAGGTCAACATGATCTCCCCTTTTTTTAGCCCCCCTGAACCTCCCCGGCACGGATCTTGGCACAGCGGGCCCAGGTCCAAGCCACCTCTCAGCTTCGGTCACCGGTCGTTTTGGTGGGATAGGTCATAACCCAATTGTGGAATGGTATATGGTATATATACATATATATATATATATACATATATATATATACACATATATATGTATAATGCGTATATATATATATATACAGATCGGGTATTAATTCCAAGCCAATCCAACCTTACATTCGAATGTTCAAACTGCCAAGCCTTCATCTTCGAGCACACCTTTGCATAGTCCAGAACCAACTTTCGATGAAGATCTGGGTTGGAGTATGGTCGCACCATGCCGGGAACGAACTCAAAATACCTGAAGCAAAGTCACGAGGTTTGGGAGTCACCCCCGCTGCAAACATCGAATTTGATATATGATAGTTTCGGGTGCAACTTGTGAATTTCAACAAACTGAGAGAGAGAGAGAGAGACATGTATACTTACTTGTATATATTTCATATATTACATGTATATAATATATGTACATATATATATATATATATATACAAGTTGGCTCAGCAGCAATCATCCTTCAATCCCACAGGATGACTCTGCATGGATGCAACCTGCTCTTCGTGAACACCAATTGCATGATGCATTGGCACAAGACTCAGCTTGCTTTTCCAAATTATTTTTATGGAACCACTGCTAAACCGTTTCAAAAGGTTTCACATGGATGCGATCATTGTATCTGGATGATCGAAACGTTTGAGCCAATCCCAAATCCCTCCGCTGACCCTCATTCCTGTTCCGCAAGGTTGAATTTTGGGGCACCAAATTTCATAGCTAACCCTTATCACTATTTTTGGAGCTAACCCTTATCAGCCATCATACCCCCAAATGGGGTGCCCCCCATCTTTTGGCTGCCCCCCCTTCACCGAGACGCTGCTTGGCATCCACCAATGTCACATTGAAGCGCCGCCGCAGGCGCCGACACACGGCCAGACCAGCGAAACCACCTCCTGCCGTGGCTGGTCGATGCACCAAAGTCACTTTTTTGGGATGTGGTGATCATGACTAGCTGCCACTAGGTGCCGATGATAATTGATGTGACACTTAGTTACTGGATGACACTTATAGTAATAATTATAATTGATGTTATAGGAAACACTAAATGATAATTGATGATGATGATGATGATGATGATGATGGAGGAAGGGCTCCTACCACCACCACGTTCTTCTTGGGCGGTCTGGAAAACGGCACCCAGAGTCGTTGACACCCCAGAGTTGCCAGCAGGATCAGCAGCCCAAGCCTCAAAGCTGGGCCAGACCGATGCGCTGCACTGCCTTTTCCAGATAATCATATACATGTATGTATATATATATATTATTATTATTATTATCATTATTATTATTATTAATTATTATTATTATTATCATTATCATTATTATTATTATTAATTATTATTATTATTTGTTATTATTATTATGTGTATATATATATAATTATATACATATATAATTATATACATATATAATTATATATAATTATATATATAATTGTATATATATATATATTATAATTGTATATATATATTATAATTATATATATACATATAATTATATATACTTGGTCTTACACAACTAGCCACTCTCCCGTCAGGAAATCTTCATTCAGAAACAATCCAAATCTTAACTCGGCACCTGGGAATCACGACGCGCTGCATGGCTGTCAAGAGGAGATCCCTGGCCAGTTCACGGTGCCACGGCCCAGCAATGTTGGGAATCCATGGGAATCCTGAAAATTGGATTGATATGGATTGATGACCAATCCCCAAGATGGAAAATCCATGAAAAATCCAGCAACGTTTGACCATGGATACCATGGCACATTTGATGGACCAGGTGAACATATTCTCTCATACCCCAAGTTCCTCCACCTCGAATGAAAGGAATCCTTTCAGAGGCCATCTTCAAACGGTGAGGAGTATGCTCCAGGAGTCTGAGATCCAATGATGCCACATCTGAGTTTGGGTCAATAGTGAAGTTGTCAGCCCCTGAGACCCCCATCTTTTGGTTGAATTCAACAGTGAAGCTGTCTGTTGGGGTTTCAATTCCATACTTCATCCATTGACTTCCCAATTTCTGGTCATCAAAACTCAACACAATCCCATTTTTGGGGGTAGGTATAGAGTACCCAATTCCGAGCCACCCCCATGGTACCAGGGGACCCATTCCCCCCACTTCGATGCCCCAGCCCCCTTTGCCTCTGTGGGCAGCATCTCATCCAAACACTCGAGCAGCAAAAAACGGCTGCAGATGGGGAAAAAATGTCATAGCCTGTCAAAGGTGCCTCAAGATTCAAGATTAGATCACCAAAAAACAACTAAGATAAAATAACTAGTTGGATTCCTGCCAACTTTAGAGGTTACAAGGTGTTTTTCCATGTATGTAACAGGATCTCTCTATGCTTCCACTTCTTCCAAACAAGTCTGAGCCAACCGCCCATCCAGCTGCAATGGAGACATGGCCAACTCGCCTGGCGGGGTGAAATGGGGATCACAACTGTTCCTAACAAGACCGGAATATGTTCTTTTTCTAAGTTAAGCACTGTGCTAGTGGATGCTAGTGGATGCTAGTGGCTGTAGACCAAAGCTTGTAACCACCGCAATGCCGAAACTGACTCCTGGTCTCAACCCAATCCCTTTGGCTCTGCATGAGGTGACTCCCTACTGCCGGCATGCGGACCTGATGTCAAAACAAGCCCAGTTCAAAAGACTGAAAATCTTCAGCACTTCGATTCAGTCAAAAATAATGGGTATCTCATGAACTTCATGAGAAAATCAAACGAAACGAAATCCTCACTCATCTGCTAGAAATCATTCCAAAACACCGCAAAAGATGAAAAAACCAAATATGGAAATGACATGGGAAAAATATCAACACAAAACAAACAAAATCCCAAAAAATATCCATCTGTGGCAGCCTGGTGGTGAAGGTGCCACGAGACCAGAGCGCTTCATGGCGTTCCCGCACCGTTGGGACCTGCGAGGGGCTCGGGCCCCCCAATTTTGTTTACCACGAAAATAGCTGGGAAAGCACTAAATGTTCATCCTAAAGATAGGATTTTATAGGTATTGATTCACATAGCAATATTTGTAGTGGAACACTGGAGCCCTAGAGACTGCTGCTGGGTTGCGAAGCTGGGTTAATGTATCGATATATTATATATATATACAGATACACTGGGTGGTATTTACGTCCTTTACGCCATCTCTTGCGGGTGGTTTACCACCACTATTTGAGCACACAAAAAGGTGATGTCTAGACCCAAACAAGTCAGAAACGCGAAGAACTCATGTCGACAAAAAAAGAAACATGGACTGTGTGCCACTACTAAAATATAAGACAAACAACATGCCTCTTTCGATATGTCCATATCGTCCATATATGTCCATATCATATATCCTCTGATTTTCTGTTTCTGCTCCGCATAGACCATGTAGTCCATGAAAGCAATGCTTCCGCCAAAGCTTCCGCCCTGGCATTGGCACCGTGCAGGTCCCGCGCCTTAAAATGAGAGGTGGCCTTAGAACCGCAGTTCGACAGCCAGGTTTCAACCAGGTTTCAACCAGGTTTCAAGGGAAATCCCAAGATATCCCAAATCCCCCAAAAAGTTCAATTGTTGCCCTACCCTCTGGTAAACTAACATAGCTATGGAAAATCACCATTTTTAATGGGAAAATCCACTATAAATCACCATTTTCAATAGCTATGTTAAATTACCAGAGGGTAAGAATCAGAACCCAAAGCTATCGAAAGCAAAAGCTTCAAGGACTCTCTGGGATTCTCTGGGCACCCTTGCAGCAAGTTTATCACCAGACGGCCGCTCGATCAGCAACACCTGTCCAGCTCAAGTCATGTGGTGCATGCCAAAATGGTGATTCATAGATCAAACCCATGATCACATCCATAAATCCCAGCCATTTTGCTGTGGAAACCTGTGGGGTTTCCACCTGAAACCAGGGTGAACTGGGTTTTTTTTGCCCCGTGGCCGAGCCAAGGAAGTGAGAAACGGCGGTAGGCGACCTGAGCCTGAAGCCCTCCTTCGTTCTTCCTCTCCTGACCTGGGTTTTTTAATGGAGAAAGCACCGAAAAGCTGGAAATTTTACCGCTTCCTATTGTTTGGACAAGCGATATGGATTCTTGATGATACTCAAAAATATCAAGCGTCTTCTTTCCGACCATTGATTTTCCTCAGGTTCATGGAATGTTTGGGGTGAAAACTCGAATGACTCCAAGGTCTATCAAATCTATTGTTGGGGTGATTATCCACTCATATCCACTACATATCAACTAAATCAGAAGACATTAAGGAGTAAACCTCCTATGAATATGACAATGTCCCCATAATTTCCATAATTCCAAACCCCTCCACCTCAGAGATTCATTCATCGGATCCAATCATATGCCATTGGTAAATCTGAAAAAAATATATTGTAAATCCATACGATTAAAAAAAAAAATATTATTGCCTGTTTTCAGACACACCCAAATATCATGTTGTTGGTTGTATATCCCATATCATATCCCCATTCTACCCCATTAAAATCTCCATTTGATTGGTTGAATTCAATGGTTTTCCATTCATGTTAAATCACTAAATCCCAATGTTTAATCATATCCTATTTAATCCTATTTATATGCCACCATATTTATCACCATCTATCCCATTAAAATAATCACCACCATCATGTACATTCTCCATCTTTCAACCATATCCCAGAAACATATCCCACCAACAATGGACATATTGGAAGTCGTTAACTGGTGGCATGTCACCATATTGAAATCTAACCCCAATAATAGACATATGCCATTCATATCCCATTAAAATGGACATTGGAATCATTAAATCCCATTCAGAACCATATTTATCACCATCCATATCCCATTATCCAATCACATTCCCCCCATGGACATATTGGAACCATGGTTAACTGGTGGGATCCTGAAGTCTAACCCATTTCATATCACCATGACGTCGTCAAAAATTCCCCGTCAAAAAGCGTCGTCCGTTTCGAAATCGCCACTGGGTTCGCAACGAACTGCATCACCTTCGAAGGCTAATTCCTCACCGACGTGCCACGTCGAGTGAGGCCCTGGAAACGAAATCGCCGTAGCTGCCAAGCCCAGAACGACGACGGAAATGGTGTTTTTGTGGCGGAAAATTGAAATATCTCAGATTTGGAGGCTTGGAATCGATCTGGGGATCAAGAAAATACAGGTCCAAAACACTCCCACGGTTCTATTCCAAGAATCTTACTCAGAAAGTCTTCCTCATAGGCTTTGTCTGAAAATAGGCTACCCTTTATAATTTCATTGCAAATCACCAGTTTCCCATATGTTCCCACCTTGTTCCCATATTTTCCCTATGAAAATGACCATTTCCGGGATCCCTTCCCTTTTCCGGGATGCCTTTCACCTCGCCCTTGATGGTCGCTGACGTTTTGGATTCTGCATAGGAGGACCTGAAAACACCCAGCGTTGCGCCGTACCTATCTGTCCTCACAAACTAAGATAGACAATATTCATGTGAGACTATATATATATAGATAAACTCAATGTATACACATGTGTATACATCCCAGTAATTATGTCTATATATGGTTATGTCAGTTATGTCTATGTGACAAACTAAATCGCACCAGCTGACTCTAAGCTATCGGACTCCGGGAATAGTGCGAGCGTCAAGGTGGTACGAGGCCTTGGAAGCCGCCGGATAGGTTTTTTGGGCAGAAATCGTTGGCGTTCCAAATCACTAGGATAGTTATGGATAGGTTTATAGATGTTGATAGATGTTGATAGATGTTGATAGATGTTGATAGATGTTGATAGATGTTGATAGTCAAAGCTGATAAAGTTAGAGGTATATGCGAAAGATTTGATACTCCGCAATCAACCAGATGATACCAAATAACTGGGATAGTTGATAGTCAAACACGACTAATGAAATGTCTTTGTGGGGCGCTACATTTTGAAGGGTACAAAACAAAATCCTGCAGTTGATCACGATTTTGTCTATCAAGATTGCTGCAAGTCTGGGACATCCACACTGTCCATCATCTTTCTGTAACAAAACCCATATCCATTCTTCGTTGATGGAATTGCACGAAATGCCTATTTTTTTCATGGTAATGTAGTAATGATATTGAGACAAGATGAAATAGCAGTAGTATGAGGTTGGTTGAAACATGTTGAAACCACTATATAATGGTTGAAACCACTATATCATCAGAAAAAAATCTGTCTCATTGGTTTCAAATCCCATTTTTTGCTGCTGAAATCCACCATTTGAGGCCAAGATGCTGAAAGAGTCGGATCTCACATGCGATCTCCACATTGGGCTCTAACCACCTGGTGCTTCGCCCGGTGACGTTCTCGGGTGGACTGAAAACGTCACTGATTTTTTGTTGGAAAATGTTGGAAGAGTTGGGCTGAAAATACCCCTGAAATCCAGTGGTTGATCATCAGATATCTATCATCAGTTTCCCTCTTGAAGTGTTGCCATTTGGATCCATTGAAGGAACCAAATGGCGACATTTCAGACACCATCATCCTACTGGCGTCTTTAAGGCTCCGCCTATCTCGGATCTCCACCAGGCCAAGCAGAATGCGCCTGGCAGTGCCAGAGAGTGAAAAAGAGTTAACTAAAAAAACAGATCCTACACCCTACCTTCTTGCACTATGGCAATCTTGCCCCAAAAATCTGACAAAATGGGGTACACTGGGTAATCACATTCCCACAAAAAAAAAAACTAATCCACATAAAATCACATTCCCCATCCATCCCCATTCCATTTTCAGGCGGGGTTTTTCCAGATCTGAGCTTCGGGGCAAGGGCGCTTCAGCTGGCAAGCGCATGAATTGCGACCGGTCCAAACTGGGCGCCATGGCAGGATGGTGGGACGTGGGGATGAGATGGGATGGGATGGGTCAAAATGATCAGCCGGAACGTATCAAACTCCAATCTTACCACCCAACTAAGACCATGTGACCATGAAATTTAACCCATGGTTAGAGGAAAGTAGTCTGCAACCCCCTGAATTTGGCAGGTTCTATGTTAGTTGGAGAGATGGTAAATCCAATGAAAGGCGTGCAGAACTTTAGGAAACGACCAGGTGGATCTGCATGTTTTGAAGATCTTGCACCCAAGTGGGTAGGTGTCACATTTATGGACTCAGGGACTCATGGACTGTCTATTTACCGGCAGGAAAAGGAACTATAAAATGGTTCGGGTGGTCTTTATATGGACAGCCACCATATTTGACCATTTCCTGAGCCATGAGCTGGACCCCTTGCAATAGGAAGCTGCCACCTTGGCCAGCTTTGCAGCACAGCCAATGGAGGTTTGGTTTGCGCAGCTTCATCATCTTCCCTTCAGAATTCCCGAATGTCTATTGTTCGTGGGTTCAAACATCCTGAAAGTTCCAAGTCAAATCGTCAAGTTTCCGAGGTTTTCCCTTTGTAACAGTCTACTCTGCGTGCAACCAGAACTGCAAAAGACCTGGCACTGAGGTAAGGACTACCTTCAGAAGCACTTTGTCTGTGATTGCCTGACCAGACATGGAGAAATAGGTGTCTCCCTGAAAAGATTGTTCAAACCCCTCCAAAAAATTCTGTGGAGCCATCCTAGCACTCCAGCAAGGGGCGTATCCCAACTTCAGCACCTGCACAACGAAATCAACGAAACAGGTTACGGGCTGGGAACCGGGACCGTGTCTGGAACCTTTGGAAGAGGTAGACGAGCTACGTCTCTTTCTGGGCGCCTTTGACGGGGCTCGGTGCAGGTATCCGCAGGTAGTCCACAGTACCCCAATTCAGCCTTCCAGGAGATTCCAATGGTTCCAATAGTAACATATCTTGTATTCTTATCACATACTGAAGCAATTGATTATCCTGATCTTTAGGACCCATGTCTTCCATGGACACCCCCTGCAGGGCATCTGTGGCAACTGCATGGGAGACACACACCTTCCGTATCATATGCCCATTGCTAGTTCTGAGCACCAACCCCACTTGATCAATCATAACTCTTGTTACACTTGTTTGGATTACAACCCAACGGGCAGTCGTTGATTGGCTTTGGCTATCCCTTCTCCTAATGGTCCAGCTTTGGAGAGTTTCTGGAATGCAGTCCTCATAGTTCAACGGCTGACAACGCTCCGTGTCTGTTGTCTCTGTATGATTGGTGGCAAGCAAACCTTGGGCGCAGATGGTGAAGTGGGCACTATCAGGAGGTACACTGAGAGGCTTTCAGCAATGGATTCTGATTCAACATCGTGTGGACTTCAACTTGGTCTTTGTTCCTTTTGCCAAGGCGCTTCAAGGCTTCCGCTCTGTTTTCTTGAAATTCAAGTAGCTTCACAAACTCACTGATGCGATCATAGACAAATTTGAAATGTTGCCTTAAAGCCTTAGCTTCATCTAAATTCATAACGTTTCAGCCATCGGGTTTCCGCGCCACCATCTTTTTGAGGCACCGCTGCAGAGGGCAGACGGATCCCCTGGCGTTTTCCCACCTTTTCCACTGGGATGGTGGGACCCCAAAACGCTGCAACCGTCGGCAACCTGGGACTCTGATCGTCTAAGCTGTGAACTAAGCTGCTCATGGCCCCCTGCACCTTGTCCGCAGGTCTTGAAAAAGAGTCGAAGGAACAGGACTCTGTCAAGCCTGCCACTGGGTTGGGCTGGGTCCAAGCTTCAATCCATGCGCATACAAAGTGGAACCAGGTCCCAACATACGCCCCCCTGAAATATTGGATTGGAACCTCTAAGAAAAAGGAATTAAGAAAAGGATTCCGATGATTGTCTAAATATGAACATATAAAACAACGAATTTTAAAAAAAAATACATGTAGTGACAAGTCCCATTTAGTGCTGACCGTTCTCAGGTTCCATGCTGCTTCCGTGGCCTATCGAATGGGCTTTCTGGACCTGGGAGCGTAGGTAGCAGCTGGGGTTGTTCCACTTGGAACTAAGGTATTTTAGGTATTCATAATTAATCTTATATATATATATACATTACTGGACTTACAGTCATGTAGTTAAATTTACTTGAGTAATAGGTGCTATCGCATTTATGACTGGATTCAAAATGACTTGGACTGGCTTTATCACATGTCCGAAGCATCGCCTGTTGGGCGTTAAAACCACGACTGAACCCCCAAAAAAAGATGCTGAGTCTCAATCCCCTCCAACAAAAGTGACCCAAAAATCACAACTCCTGTTATCACCACAGTTCTCAAACCACTTGGCTATCAAAAATGAACCTCTTTCTGTTGTCGCTGGGAGTTCGACAGAGGTCGTTGACGAACAACAGCCCATTGCCTTGGTCAGAAATGCCCGAGGTTGCTGTGGAAGAACAGGTATATAAAATCAATAGTTCTGCCAGTGTCAGTTGTGTCTGATTTCAATTCACTGTTCAAACATCTTCAGTCAGTCTATTCAACTCAGAAAAATTGGGCGGGCCAATATCTCCAATATCTCCATGTACCATCTGGTTATTTAACATAGCCATGTTATAGATGGCCCATAGAAATAGATGGTTTTCCCAGCTAGAAACCTCCATATTTATAAGGGATTTTCCATGGCTATGTTAAATAACCAGAGGGTACTCATTTTCAAAATCTCACCATTTCACCATATTTCACCCCTCGGCGTCCCTGCCGCGTCGTTCGGGGATCGTGGAGTCACAGGTGCTATCTCTCCCTGGTGCTCTTTTGTCTCAAGCCATGGACTAGGACCATGGCGATAAATTAATAGTGGTTAATTGATATGGGTTGGTAATGGTCAATGATGATTAATGGTTATTAATGATGATTAATGGTAGTTAATATGGAAGAATGAAATGACAGGTATTTTGTTCGAAAAACTTGAGTTGATCGTGTGTTATTACAGACAAATATGGATGCAGACATGCAAACGTAAAACGAAGAAAGAATACAAACACAAACGATCTGGAACGATCTGAACACATTCTGATGGGTGAAATCCTTCATTTTACCCTCTGGTAAATTAACAGTTTGCTATGGAAAATCACCATTTTCAATGGTTAAATCAACTATTTCGACTGGGCCATTTTCAATAGCAAACTGTTCGTCATTACCAGGCCGGGTAGTTGCTGAATATCTCCATATCACCTCGCGGCTGGCGCCAACGCCCATCGCCCAGCAGCCCGCACCTTTGCAGGGACCCACTAAAAATACTTGGGACCATAGTTGGGACCATTAGGATCAATGGACCATCATGGACCATCCAGAGTTAGGTCATGTTAGGTCCATCTTCAAAATGTCTTTCGATACCTTGTCATCTGTTTATCGAGTGATTTGATTCGTCATGACTAGCTGACTAGCTGGTACTGCAACACTAATTCTAATCATTCTAATCATTCTAATCATATCATCATGAAGAATTGTCCCAGCAAAATCATCAAATATGGTCCTTAACTAATAATTAGTCCAATACTGTAGCCGCTGTAGCCTCCATTGCTGAGCTCCAAACTTGACAACCCGCGGCCCAGCGGCTGGCTACCGCGACGCGTTCTGTTTAAGCGCGCCCACAGAACAGATCCAACTAAGACCTCCTCAATGGTTGCAGAAAATCTGGGTGATTTTGCCGGAACTTCAACCAAAAAAAAAAGGAGAGAAATCTTGGAAAACATTTGGCGCGAATCCACTTTTTTGGTCTGAAAGACAACAGCTGAGAGCCAAAAAGGCGACGCCGGTGCGACGTGACACCGGGAGACAGGAAAGATGTCATGGTGAGCAAACCCTAAAAGCGGTGATACCAGCGAAGATCTCGAATCCTGCGGCTGACCCGAGACATTCTCTGGTGGTTACCTACCCCTCTGAAAAATATGAGTTCGTCAGTTGGGACCATTATTCCCAATATATCGAAAAGTACAGTAAAAAATGTTCCAAACCACCAACGAGTTCTCCAATTTCTGGCCCGAACCACTTTGGCGTGTGTGCCAGAACTGCGACCTACGCAGAGAGCTTTGTCTGCGGCTCTCTCTTCGAGAGAGTTGAAAATTTCATCGCGCGTCCTGAAGTGCAAGACAGGCGGAATCCGCTATCAACACGTGCATTGGTATGTCTCAAAGTTGACCCAAACTATTGTTGTTAGTTTCAATGTTAACGGAAAAAAGAATGGATCAAGTTTCAGCGAGACTGTACACAAAATGCAAAAAAAATGGGCAGTAAGGATCATCATCCCGAATACCTACTTTGCTATTGTTTAGGGCGACACCATGTGCACATGTAATTGCATATGTATACAATATGTACATAATACTCCATAACATATATATATATATATTATAATATATATACAGTATATATACCAACCAACCAGATTGAGACACACCGAAACAACCAACCATTTTCGCCAACTCAATTCATCAAGCTGAGCAAGACGACAGTCAGCAGCCACAAGCGTCTCACTGGACCTAAGAATCTCGGGGGCCGCCATAGGTGGAAGAAGTCTTCTGACTCATTCTGACTCATAATACTCATATAGTTGGGATTTATGGTGGATGGATACATCTGTAGTTAGACAGGTTATCAAATTTATGAACAAACATAACTGGGGGCAGTTATGGTGGTCCTCTTTGTACCCGAGGGAAACTACCAGGGATTGACAGCTGGCCGGTGGTTCCACCATCTTCCACCCCTCGAATGCTGAGTGAGTCAGGTGTCAAAATCATCAGCTTTCGTGGATGGAAAACCAGATTTATTACCTGACTAAACAACCTCTTAAACCACCCAACAAACCATCTTGGATGGTGTTCCCCACAGTTCCAGTTATGAGATGGCTGCAGCCAATAACAATCACAAAATGGACTTCCAAATATGTCGAAACCTGCACCTCTACTCTACCACATCCACATCCACCATCAACATCAAGCCCCCAACAATGATTCATCGGTTGTATCTCCACGGACTCCAAGGCGCATGAGTTTGTGATGGGTTTCAATGTGGACATCACCTCCGTCTCCGTTCGATCGCTGTAGAGCACGGGTGCCCCATAGGGCAGCTCCCCGGCGCCGCTGGTGTTGATGGCGATCCGAAAGGCCACCGCAGTGGCTGGCAGCTCCAGGGGACCCAACGGCAGGGAATAGGCCGTGGCGGCACAGCAACTGTACAACTTCTCACTGCGGGTCACGTAGCCCAAGGTTGGACCCACCTGGGGATAGATTCGGATAGGATGGGATTGGTGATGATTGATATATGTTGATATGATGGGGCGGGATATGGGAGGGGGCACGAGATTTGGAAGTCCTGAGGAAGGTTTAAGATGTGGACAGGTGGCTGACACAACTGGAGATTGATTAGTGTCTGGCCGACAACATCTATAGCCACTTGGCCTAAGTTGGCTTCCACTGCTCAACTAACCCCACCTATCAGAAAAGTTGTTCCAAAAATTCTCCTCCAAACCCCACCTTCCAAAAAAAACATATGGCTATGCCTGAAAATTATGAACCCCCCCCCCAAATTTGGCTGGTTTCAGATCCCAAAAAATCCGCACTCTAGTTGTAATTCACCATTTCATCCATTTCTGCGGTTCCTATTCCATGGTATACCCCAATGACTCCATCATCCCCACCATCCCCACCTGTTCCCCGCAGTCATCCGCCATGAAGACCCGATAGCCCTGGATGCCCTGCACCGGCATCTTCCCACTGGCGTGCGCCTCCCCAAACTGCAGGGTACCAGCCATCCAACCAGGCCGGGCATCGGTGTCGATGAAGGTTCTGGTGCGGCAGACCTGCACAACTGGAGAAGTCTCAGTAGCACTATGTAGCAGTACTATAGTAAGCCCCCCAAAAAAAAGATCGAACTGGTTTCATTGGCCGCTGTTTTAGTCTGTGTTTTTTTCTTGAGACACTAGCTTCTGTCTCTTCAAGGGTTGCTGTAAACTTGTAGAATCATAGAACTGACCCACAAACTGGCTGGACATTGAGCCATACCCCGATCGAGAGATGGGGTCAACTAAATCAGCGTGACTTTGCGTCAAGAAGTCTGTGTTGAAGCAAAACAGCAACATACAGGGCTTTGGTCAAAATGATTATATAATATTATATAACTATAATAACCCAAAAAGAATATGTTTTCTTTTCAAAAATATCTAAAAATGAACCAACATCTGTGGTTTTCCGTCAATTTTGACCCGTACCCATCATTCACAACGTGCCGCGCACCTCACAACGGATCCGGCAGGTGCCAGAAAGCCATACAGCTGGCGATGTCATGTCGATGTTTTCAGCAGGGCCTTGAAGGGCCAGATCCCCTCCGGTGTCATCAAACATGGTAAATCCATGAACATTCCATGGCCATCTCAACGGGAACAATCCATGGAAAATCATCTGTAATTCGGGAATTGTCCATTGTCATGGGTTGATTCCCGGTAATGCTCTTGATGGATGTTTGAATATGTTTGAATCACATCGATTGATCTGCTGCATCTTTTTGTGTCTGTGTCCGCAAGTCAGGTATGGTCACAGGATGTCACAGGATGTCACAGGTGTGTGCACTTGCGTCTTCACATGTGTCTTGACACAGTTCAGTTTGGCTGTGTGTGTGTTTATGTCCGAACACAGACCGTAGATAGACAAGAATATGTACAAGTCTACGCATTTCACGTGTGCAATCCCAATCATTAGGAACACAGATACTGTACACTGTATACATGAATGACAACTTGATAAATGACATGCCTCCAGTCCCTCACTTTGCCCCACTCATTTTGTTGCTTCTAAAAACAGTTCCCAAGATTTCCCAAGCACTCAAAGTCCCGGAATCTACGAAAAATTACCATCATTTCCAGTTCTTCCAGTTGTTCACATGTGTTCCAGTTGCATCTTCGTTGCATCTTAGGCACATGTGAAGATCAACGGTCCCCCCGCAACACACTCCGAGTCTGCGCAGCGCGCTTCGCAGCTCTCCCCCGCGGGGACCTGGCGACAGTCCTCCGGATGCGCCCAGTATCCGGGATCCGGCGCGCTACAGTTGTGCAGCGCCACACAGCCGGAGAGCAACACCTGGAGGTCCATCGTGTTGGTGGGTCCCAAGTGATAAGGGAATCACCCAATGGATGATGATATTCCCTAAATCATCTACCCTCTGGTAAACATAGAAAAAACTATGGAAAATCACCATTTTTTGATGGGAAAATCAACTATTTTCAATAGCAAATGTTAAATTACCAGAGGGTAAATAAAGATTGATCATAGCAAATATTTGCCAGGTTCAAAGGAAATATTCTATCTGTTGGGTGTGACCATTCTTAGATATTCTTAGGGTCCCTCACTTGGCGCAAAAGAAATGGAGAACATTGACCTGGATTATCCCAATTCAAGAGTTTGGGCAGTTTGGGCAGTTTGGGGTATAGATGTTCCAATATATGTATATATATATAATACTGGTCGGTGGTTTCAACCCCTCTAAAAAATATGAAAGTCAGTTGGGGTGATTATTCCCAATATTAATATATGATAATATATGGAAAAATAAAAAAGTCATGTTCCAAACCACCAACCAGAATATGTTCCAATTCCTTCAAAGCACGGTCGTTTCGCAAGTCTCAGGGTCGATGTTGCAAGTGACTTCCGCAGTGCCAGTCCATCCAGTGTCTCGACATTTCCAGTTGCCGCCATCGCGATCGCTGGCGATCGAGACCAACTCGTATCCCGCTTTGGCCGCTGGGGGAGGACAACCGCAGACCAGATTCTGGTCGAATTGAAGCCTAAATCAGATAGTTTCGCAACAAACCATTTCCAAAATATATCAGAAACAGAATCGTGACTTTGATGGTCGGCCAATCTTTGCGAACTCCCGAATTTTCCCAGTATCATGAGGAAAAAAATGCTGCTGGAACATCGGCTACAAAAGAAGGTGGCAAAATTTCACGTAAGAACACTTGAACCCAAGGTTCGGCTGGCCGGCGTTGGTGTTCTCAGGAGGGCATCTGCCCATGACTTCCCCTCCAACGAAGTCTCCCTGACATGACATGATGCAAAACTCTCCTGGATACACTTCCGTGCAGTTTCCAACATCTGTCCGACATCTGTCCACCAAGGGTACCACACATGGCTGCAGCATCAAGCAGCCTGAGAAGTGCCAAAATGCTCGGCACGTCTGCGGATCAATGCGACATTCCACTTCCGCCATCCCAACGGCTCCCTCCGCGCACACCACGGACGAGCCCTCGGATGTATAATTCGCGGGCAGCGATCTCAGATCCATCTGGGGACACACCAAGAAACAGTCTGGTTCCTCCCAATCTGCCTGTCCACCTCGTTGAGTGTTGGGATTGGGACACCTGGCAGTACTGCTTTGGTTACCCTCGAAGGGAGCCTTGCAACTGATGCTGCAGCTCGCGCCTGGTGCCAGAGCCCCACCACAGGTGGTTTCGTGTTCACACGGGCGAAGCTGGGGCGGCGCGCAAGGCACGTTTTCATCGCAGCCCTTCAGCATCAGCTTGGGTTCGCCACAACCATCCTGCTGAACACAACTGGATTCTGCCTGTCCCACATGACCTTCGGAACAGCTCCAGGTGCCATTGATTTTCACATAGCCCCGTGGGATCGGCTCGGGTGTTGGACAGGTCAAGCTACAGAGTTGCTGATCAAACACCAAGGGAAACTGCGGGATGGTGTTGCCCGATGGGCATTCCGCCATGAAGTCGGCACCCGCGAAGGGCGCGCGGCACTTCACCGTGCAGGAGGAGCCCGGAGGGGTGTCGGCTGTGCAGGCAAAGTCGAATCGACAAATATCGAAGGATCCAAGCGGAGGCAAAATGCAGTTCTCCTCACGTTCGCAGCCGCGAAGCGTCAGGCGTGGTTGGCACTGGTCATCCACATCACACTCTTCTTGGGGTCGGCCGTCATAGCCTTCAGGGAAAGAGGTTATGATAGTCATTGGCAGTATCTCCATGATTGTAGGTGAAATCCATATGTTTATTTCATTTTATTTCGGTGAATAATTCATGTGTGTGTGTGTGTCGTTGTATGCCCCATGATCCCCATGTTTGTGAGACCCCAGCCGTTAGCACAGGTCCATCCACAATCCAACTTCACATAGCCCGGTGGAACTGGGTCAGGATCGGGACATTGCAGCGAACAGTCGGGCTCAACAAAGACCTGATTCGCCAAATTTCTACCGCAGGATATAGAGATAGGATCAAATGTTGCCATTTGCCCAAATCACTCAGATATAGAATAGCTATTATAACATATTATAACTAATTATGAAATGATGAAATGGAAGTGCGTTTGGGGTGACACAGTTTGACCCACAGCTGGTCTTCAGAATCAGTGACAATCTTCATATCCAAGGGACCAGCTCAGTGGCGGGATCTGCATTGTCGGGGGGGCAGAAGGCTTGTCCCCCCGGACCTGAAAACGGTGGAGAGCATTGCATGCCACAGAAACTTCCTGAGGCCGTGTCCTGGCGCTATGGGCTGCGAAAATGATGGATTTACCCCCCAAAAAGCCGCAGTATGTTGACCAGGCCACATGATTAACCAGTGGATGGGATGGTGCTTTCCCCAAAAACATACTCGGCAAGTCTTCTGTGTAAGGTGCGATAGCTATGGGAAGGACTTTTAAGTATGCATCTCAAATTTTAAGTGCTGCGTGCATCTCCACTTTCTGTGATTGATTGCCCAAAGTATTATGGCTAGGCAGCCGTTTGCTGGTAAAACATGTAACCCCCATGTTCACCTGGGGGACATTTTTTCGGCGACATGTTTTTTTGCCAGGACCCTAACCTCGCACTCCGAGAAGTTCCAGCGGCATAAATCGCGACCCATCAGCCGTGGCAGCGAGCAGGGCTGAAGGGCTACGCAGCCTGAGAGCTGGAGGGTGCCGCCGCATTCATCAGACTGCATGCACCTGGCGTGCTGTGAAAAATCGCCGCAACCTTCCTGTAATGAGAATACTAAGTCGAATGACAATATCAATGGGATACGAGTAAACCATAACAAAACAGCAGCATAATAGCTCGAAGAAGAATAAGAACCTTTCCAAAAACCATTATAAAGTAGCCCGTCTGTTTATTTTGGAGATCCTGTACAGGGGGGTGTATTAAATGGGGAATCTGGCCCTGTTCAGAAATAGGAGATCCCGACCATTGATTGTGCCTGGGACCTACAAAAGTGCTGACAAATAGAGTAAGACAATCTCACATAAATAGTATACTAATGTATACTATACAATCATATGTAAGTAAACCAATGATAGCAATAATAAGGATAACAGAAATAAATAAATAAATAAATAAATAATAAAGATAAAAAAGAGCTAATAATAATACTAATAATTAATAATAATTAATAATAATACTAAATAATAATAACAATAAATAATAATGAATTGCAAAAAAAAAGTAACAATAATAATAATAATAGTAATAGGAAGAATGATATCACTTCGACCCATCCCCACCTGGTCGAAACAGAGCCTCGGTATCCATTCTGGCAACGCCAGGTTCCAACGTCATAGCCCTTTGGCAAAGGATTGGAGGTTGCCCAAACTTCAGGAGGTGCGCAGGTGTATTCGCCACAATAAATGTCCAGGGGCGGTTCGTAGCCCGGCACGGTGTTGTCCCAGGGGCACTCCGGGTTACCTCGTTTTCCAAATGCGTCAAGGGGATACTGCAGATACCCCCATTGCCATGTCAATTGGGGGTTTCCTTGCAGGTACCCCAAAATCATCCATTTTGGGGATTTTTGAGGTACCTCCCTTTTAGGACACCATGGCGCCTTCTGTGGAGTGCTTGAGGCCTCTGGGTGTGTGGATATGTTCCATAGTTCCCTTGAAAATCACCAAGAAATTTGGGGCATCCCAACCTGTTCTCACCCTTCAGGTCCAGTCACTGAGGTTCACGTTGAAGCCTTCGTTGCAGGTCACATTGCAGGTCTCTCCGGGCCCAATGGGACCTTGGCATTCGCTGAAGTCCAGCTTGCAGAGCTCGTAATCATCCACCTGGGTCTGGTACCAAAACAGCCACGTACTCTAAATGGGTCCGAAAATGTGTAGAGCCCCTACTAACCCATTGTTTCTAGGCGTTTGAGAACATTAGGAGCTTTGTTGGGAGACGACCAACCAACAACTTGGCACGTTCACCAACATCACGAAATCTCAAAGATGTGGATTTTCCAGAGATTTGAATCAATTTTGTAAGCTTTAGGTCGCACTACATTGGGGTTTCACCAAAATCTGATGTTGAGATGAACCAAACTGCGGTGCGTCATTTTTGTACCCGCAAATGGCGGGTAATATATTTTATTACTAGACTTGTCTGAACCATCCAATTTTGGGGGTAGGCTATTCTGATCTTTGGCCGTCTCAGGCAACACGAAAATTCAACACCGAAAACACCCTTAGGTCATGTGTGAAAGATTTTCACAGATCTGGGGCAAAGTAAGTAACACATTATCGAATGATATCGAATGTGTGTGCGTGTGTGATTGTGTGTGTGTGTGAAATTACTAGATAATTCAGGCATAGGCATCCAGAAGGATATGCTGGACCCATGTAAGCTTGTCTGACCCAAAATTGTCATTTCAGCGGTTGAACTACTGAAAAAGCATGGAAATTTGATGAATTTGGTGTTTCCAATGTGACAATCAAATGTCATGTTGCCTCCCGGGCACCCGAGGCTTCGCACATTGCGCCAATAAGTTGCATCCCGTCATCGTGATGATGGGTTCGCAAGTCGTGGTGTCAACAACGCAGCGATAGTTGGCCCGGCCGTAATAGCCAGGCGCACAGGTGTAGGTGTTGGGTGCCGAACCCAGCAGATAACCGGCAGGTGGTGGGACTGGCTCCCTGCAGTAACAGGTGGGAGGCAGCCAATTGATGACCTTGGTGGGATCCAAATTGGTTGCGGGACATCCAGCACCGAGCTGATCACCAAAGTAGTTGGGACCCTGGCAGTAGACGGTACAAACCTGCCCTGGTTGCAGGTCCAAACAAGATCCGCCTGTTAAGTCGACGGTACCTCAGAGGGACACATGGCGCGGAAAGCCCAAAATGTAATAAAATGTAGCCGTTAGGCCAAAGTGAATGCACTTCTTTCATCATTTTTTGCCAAACTGTTCCAAACTACTCCAAATTATTCCACGTCTTCCAGGGTTTCCAAAACTCCTATCGCCAATGTCTCTCCCATTGTGGCTATCATTTACATGAATATTTGCATGGTATTAAATTATTAGGTTAGGGCAACCTTGTCTTCAAGGATGGTATCTCACCCAAAAAAAGAACATCTTGAGCCCATGGAGGCCATAGGCCATGCTCCAAGTTGCACTTCTGTTCGGGTGTCAACTCCGGATTGGCACACTGAACAAAGGGTTGGCATCCAAAAAGTCGAGGAAAGGCAACGCAAGATTCGGGGTCGACGATGCATTCAGACCAAATCGCTCCTGCGAACAGTACCAGCAGGAACCAGGTCATACCAGGTCTATCTAAGCAGAGAAATGCCCGTTATGGAAAGAAAACAGGTACGGTGCAAGCAAATCTCTCAAAATATTGGAAAAGCATGGAAAAGCTGAAAAGCTGATTGGTTGTAATCAGTGCATCTGGGCGTGGTTCTTTCAGGGAGAACTGGAGATTTTTCTTTTGCATGTGCTCCCATCCTGGTCCATCATATCCATCGGCACACTGCCATTCACCCAAGACGTTGCGATATCCAGTCTGAGACGATGGCTCAGAACATCCCAAAATGCAGCTCGGTGGGGTCCAGATGGCACCTTTAGGATCGATGTTCGGATCCCGACATTCAATGGAACCATGAGCTTCACCCAAGGGAGTCATATAGGGCGACTTACATTTCACCTGACATGAGGTTCCTGAGAGCATCTGTCCAGTGGGGCAGTCCGTGACATCGTATTGGCACGAATCGATCGCTGGAAAATCGCAGGGAGTGGTGGGAAAGCAGCCAGATAACACGAAAGTGGGCTCGCAATTGGTCTCGTTCACCACACATTCTCCAAGTGCCTGTCCGCTGTACCTGATTGCGGCTGAGTGCATCAGAATGTGAAGAAATGAACTGCTAATCCAACTCTGCCCATTCCGAATAGCTGTTTCAACTTCTGTTTTTTTTATCAAACAGTACAACATAGTACAACCCAGAGTCCCCATTAGTCCCCATTACAGTATCCTCCGGCTGTCAACTCCTCAACACTAACAGCTGGTTTTCTGTTTGTCCATCTTAGCACACCTATTTTCGAGAAGAACGATGTGTTTAAGAAGAACGATTGTTCGAGAAGAATGCTCAAAGTTGTCTTTACCTCCCCTAAAATGCAACCCTACCCATTCTTCTCAAAAATCCTTCTTCTCACTTTTTTTGGTGAAAAAACTGGTTTGCAATTTCCACTGAGGAATTTCTGGTGAGAACGTTGCTCTCCTGAGAACGATTGCGTCTCGTGAGAACGATCTTTGATTGAAATGTGCGAGAGGACGATGCCATGTCACTTCACAGTGGGCCTTGATCATGGTCATATTTGTTTGGGCCAAAAATGTCCTCAAACATTGCCCATGAGAACGATGAGTGACTTATATAACATGTATTTTCCCAGTGAGGATGTGTACTAGAGTACGAGTGAATCAATTGATTGTTTTCTCAGAAAATGGAGGCTTTTTGTGGGTTTTCCTGGGTTTGGAACAATTTAGGTCGCAACTCCGAACTCATTCCCTCTATCACCCCATTCTTCCAAGCTGCTGATTGGCGGTGTCGCAGCCCCAGACCCCAGCCTGAAAGATGTAGCCTAAAGGGATGGGGTTCGGAAACTCGCAGTCGATCTCACAGTCGAGGGCCCATTCTTCCATTGGAGTCCCCCAAAGTGGCTGTTGCCCTTGCTTCGTAGTGCTACCAGGACAGTAAGCCCAGGTGGCATTCTCACCTGATTGAAATTTGGGATCCCCCAGCGAATCGAGTCATACTGAGCCTTGAAAATGGTTGAAAGAAATGATGAAAGCACCCAAATTTGTTACAGTAGGTCCATTTGACATAACTCACAACCAGCATATCACTATCGGCCATACAACCGTCTGTCCATTTTGGCTTCAACTTCTCTCACTTCTGGGCCTTGTCCTCCAGTGTAAGGTTCAGCACAGGTGATGTTGCAGCCCTGACCCGGTTGCAGCGCAGTACACTGTGAAGCATTGCTCCTCCATGAGGCTTGCGCCGTTCCACCGATGGTATTTAAGGGGATGGGATGAATTGTTGTGACTACATGGCCATAATTATAGTAGGGTTATGTGCCAATGTATGGACCCCTCCTGCATTTGACAAAGAAGAACAAAAAAGGATGTGGCACAGAGTTCGGGTTCATGGAATTCAAGAAACGCCAAACTGGACTGTGTATATTTCCCCACGTGCACGAGCAAATCATGAGTATTTGCCATTGTTCAACCGGTCTTATCACTCAGACTGTTCAACAAGCTTGGCCCATGTGATTCCATGGCAGCTGCCAAGCCCTCGTCAATTCTTCAAGTTCTTCCTGTCCCCGCCTGCATGTATCATTCACCATTAGTGGAGCACATTGTACAGTCAAAGTGCAGCCACTGATGATCAGTTCGGATCGGCAGCGCCCAGGTTCCCTTCCAACAGCAGCACAATACCAATTCACATCTCCAATGTAGCCGCTATCGCACTCCCAGCCGCAAGGAGTTTCCACATATCCCGGTGGCGGCCGCATCTCACAGGGCTTCAGACTACACTTGGGCTCCAAATAGACCAGTTGCCCATTGGGATCCGTGTTGTCCGAGGGACAGTAGGCAACGGTGGATTTGCCAGCATAATCCGAGCCGCAGCGGATTGTGCAGTTTCCGCCCGGGGGGACTCGTTGACAGTCAGAAAAATCAAACATACAAAGTTGGTCCTCAGGAAGGCCCAGGGCTTTGGTGGCTTGGTGTTTGGACCACAAAACTGGAGAAATCCACCCAACAAATGCAGTGAGGAATGGAATCCTATATTGCATGACGCAAGCATGTGTTGCTCATGTTGTATATCAATATGTATCAATCGCCAAAAGTACATCGTCATTTCTCATGATATCCATAGTACTTCAGATTTGATGATAGATGTACCCAAGCATCTACGACTCGCTGGCCCCTTCCCCCATCTCCTCTGCACTGTACGAAGCCAGTCGGGTTCGTCCTCCACCCGGCCGCGGGGCTGCGCAAGGAACGACCTCATTGCAGCCATAGAAGGAGTACGTGGGGTTGCACTGGTCATTGAAATCCGCCGCACATAGCGACTCCGGATAGCCAGAATGGTTGGCCGCACACATGAAGCGCGTCTTGATGTAACCCACTGGATTCACCGGATCCTGGTGTGACAGGGAAGACATGGGAAGACTGTGATCATTTGGAAATGATGAAATTCTGAAAGATCCCCTTCCAAAGCTTTCTTCATTTATTTAATATTTCATCCTCATATCGAAAAAGTCAGCCTCCCACCTGGCAACTCAAGACACATCCAGGGAAGGTCCATTCCAAGGGTGTCATCGGATCCGTGTTGCCCTCCTGACAGCTGGCTTCGGTGACGTTTCCCGTGAAACTGGGGCCGCAGGAGACCTCGCAGCTGTCGCCGGCGAAGACGTTGAGACACTGAGAGAAGTCCACCGAGCAAGGCACGTCGTCAGGGAGGCGGCAAGAGGTCCTTGGAGCTGCTGAGGTCGTTGTGAAATTTGGGAGATGTATAAATATGTATTTTATTTGTATACATGTATATTATATATATATGTATTTGCATATATATATATATGTATTAATTTATTTATTTGCATATCTACAAATATATATATATATATATATTGTAATTTTTACTCTATATATGGATGGTTGGAGGGATGGATGAGTAGATAGGTAGATCAGTAGATAGGGAGATAGGGAGATGGATATGATTATGATTATGATGATAATCTGTGCGTGTTGATGTCTAATTATAGATATCTCCAATGGCTGACAGCTGGAGTTTCGCAAGAATTAGCCACAACCTGAGCCCACCAATGCCACCACAACTCGCCCGTGGTCCCACAGGTCCAAGCCACTGAGGCACACAGCCTTCAAATATATAAGCCGCCACACAGTCGTCTCCGATGTCACATTTGACATCTGGAATTCCCTCGTATCTCGATGCACAGGTCCATTTCTGCTTCCCAGTCATATCGATCCCATCGGGAAGATAGCCGGCAGGCACGGGGTCCGGCATGGGACACTGTAGGTTGCAATTGGGCTCGTCCCAGACCAGCTCCCGACCCACAATGGTGTTGTTGGGAGGGCAGGTAGCAAAGGCCACCCCACCAACATACGGGGCACGACAGGTGACTTCACAGGAGTCCCCGGAGCGGACCGAGATGCAGGTGTGTTGAAAGGCGCACAGCTTCCCCTGCGACAGGATAGGAGGTTCACAGGGCAACAGGGCGTTGCAGCCCGAAAATCGCAGCTGAGGATTGCAGTTGCCATCCGTGGCACAGGAAATGGAAGGCACACCCGCATAGCCATCGGTGCATTGCCAACCACCAAAGACTCGAATGTAGGGATGGGACAAATAACCCACCGGAACATCGGCCACTTCGGCACATGCAATTTGGCAGTTGGGTTCCTCCCAACTGAGCTGGCGCAATGGGTTGGTGTTCCCATTGGGGCAGCTAGCATTGGTGTTGCCTTGGTACGGTTGCTTGCAGTGCACCTGACACGATCTGCCAGGACTGGCGGCTTCGCCGATACAGCGGGTGAAGTCGTACATGCAGGCGTTTTCGACCTGGCGCTGGAAGGGTTGATCAACAGAAGGAACTGGATTGAATTCAAACTTCTGCTAACTGAAATAGTTAAAAGAGTATAATTTGTACATATGTTTACTGTTTGCATCAAAAGAAAACAGTGCTTTTGGTGACATAAGGTCTTGGTGGTGTTTGTTTTAAGCCGAGCTTTAAGCCATATCAATTCATATAAACATATAAAAATAAACTCTGCTTCAGTCGCTTCAGTACCAAAACTCAGGGTACCACACCCCATTTTGCCCATTTTTGCCCCATGCCTCTGGCAAAATACATCGCGCCAATAAGCTACAGCCAGAGAGGACCTTTTTGGACGCACACACCGAATCAATGACACAATCCCACTGGGCATCGCCCCCATAGCCCGGGGCGCAGGCCCAGCCATTGCCAGTGGAAACTTTCACATATCCTTGGCAAGATTTTCCCATTTTTCATGGGGAACAAATGGAACAAAGACAAAACTCAAAACTTAAGTGTATGGCTATTATAAATCCAAGTTCCTTCCGGTTCATTTGGTGGATCTTCACATGTCAGGGTGCACTGAGGTTCCACCACCAACAATCCCACCTCTTCGTCAACGTTATCGGGTCGGCACACAGCCACCGAAGACCAGCCCGTGTAAGGGAAACGACAACTCACTGGGCAACTTCCACCGGGTTTTACCTCGCTACATTGCATCACGTCCAACAAGCAACCGATCAAATTCAGAGGCGGTGCACAGGCCGCGGTTTGTTCGCATCCTTGGTGTGGTTGGGATGTGGCAGTGTGTCAAAACCTTGTACCCCTGTAGTTCACATCAAAATAGCTGGTAAATGGATGTTCATCCCACTAAAAATGATATTTTTATAGGTATTGATCCATAGCCATGTGAAAAATGGAGCTTCACAGGACCGTTCCAACTACAGTAAGCAGTTGATCTGGGGCCTCGAGATGTTGAGCTGAAAGGAATCACAATTCACAGGCTACCCATCTCTTGGCCAATGCCAATACTTCAAAAGTTGCTTTGGTGTCAACAAAAACCATTTATAACACCCCAGGATACATAATAGACATATCATCTATATATATATAGAGAGAGACATAGATATCCCGTATGTTTTTTTATAACTCCCTGAGGATTCCAACATATTTCTCCAAGTCACCAAACCATTGTAAGCTGCTCTTGCACTCCTCATCCGGAACACACCTGGCCACCGCAGTTCCTGCAAAACCTTCGGCGCAGGTGTAGCCACCTCCTTCAACTTCTAGATAAGCCTCAGGGAGGTCCATCAAGATAGGGCAGTCGCTGGCGAACAAGTCGCAATCCGGGGCGGTCCATTCCTGGGACAGGGGACGATGATCCCAGGATCGAAGATCATGGAATCAGGGGGTGAAATCATGAAGTGGTGTCATTTGCAGATGATCTTAGGAACTTGCTTAGGCGAAGATGCCGAGTTTTAGATGCTGTGGCACCCTTAGCACCAGAGTCATTTCAAGCTCGAAATGCCCAGAGAACAGCTCCTAGCCCCCATTAGCCCCCCAAAATCAGTGGCTCTGCTCAACGACTTTACCTGATCATCAACCATCATCAACCATCATCAACCATCATCAACCATCATCAACCATCATCAACCATCATCAACCATCATCAACCATCAACCATCAAGATATTGAGATCCCAAACCATCATCAACTATCAGCCATCAGCCATCATCTGCAACTGGAGCTCCACAGGTGTTGAGGGATCGGTATTTCCAGGAGGACAGGAGGCCGGCGCAGCCTCACCCATGGTGACATTCTGCCATGCTATGTTGGGGCTGGATACCCAACAAAGTTCCAATTGCGAAGCCCCACTGAGGCTGTTAGTGGTGGCAGCTTTTGGTATAACAGCCTATAAATACTGTAACTCTTGCCAAAATATCGTGACCAGGATAGTCATTGCAGACCTGACGGCCTTGTTGGTTCACCCACCCCTGGCCTCCCCTGCAAAAGGGCTTCGGCAAGCGATAGGGCAAGATGTCCCAGCGGGCACCTGGCAATCGTCCCTGTTCCTTTCCCACTTGGATGTGCATACCAGTTACAGTAAATAAATGCTTTGTAAACCATATATACCTGGAGATATCCCATATAATGTGTATATATAATTATATATTATACATTATACCCCAGTTATCTGTATCTCTATATAATATATATAGAGATACAGATAACTGGGGTATAATGTATAATATCATATTATTAATATGCTATACTATGACCAGGGCTTCATGTCTCTCCAAACATGGCAGCTCTGCGTTCTCTCCACAACCAGAGACATCAAACCTGGCATCCCAACGTCCAAATGATGGGAGTGAAATGTCTGTTTTTTACGCCCAGGTGCATCTGGGTCACCATACCAACAGACCCAAAAAATACTAGACACAAAGATATGTGTATACAATTGTATATATACATATATACAATATATATATAATTATATATATAAGTATATGTATGTTAGTCAAATCGGACTATGCAACAATGTACGCGTATCATCGCGTATCTGCGTCTGCATGTGTCTATCTATCTGTCCTGTGTGCCATATAAAACGAATATCATGTCGCACGAGTAAATGAAATACATACATGGGTTACACGGGTCAATGTTGGATTTCTGAAAATTGTAGGTATGGGTTTTATATGGTTTTATACCAAAAAATCTCAGCCAAAAGCGGGGTGTGTCAGGGTCACAGGGGTGTGTTTTCGCCATCCAATCCTTGGTCTGGGACTTGTCCCACATCATCCGTGACATAATCTGGACAAACAAGAATGCCACAGCCTACATGTTGACCATGTTTCAAACAGATCATTCCCCCAATATCCCCCAATCACAATCAACATCGCCATTTGGGCGGGAATGATTCTCTTAGATAATCCCTTCCTCCTGATAAACACCTGGTCCGGCATTGAATGTGTTCATGTTGGGTTCCTTATTGGGATCCGGACCATCATTAGCCAACATTGAAACCAACATCCATCATAGTGAAAATCCCAATCCGGGTTTCAAGAGCGGCCCAAACCAAGGCAAAAAAAAAAACAGAAGTCGTAATTGTCGGCAAGGCATGGATGTGAGCAGCGGGCCGCTTCAAGGATGTTTTCTTTACAGGGACCCTTGCTTTACATATAAAAATGTTCCCTTCATCCAAGCTGGGGAGCCATTCAACTCCACAATGTGTTGCTTTCTTCAACCCCTGTGTTTTAATGGTCACCGGTCACCCAAAAGTTGCTGCCATTCCCATCCCAACCCCAAGTGGCCCAACCCCAAGCCCATCCAAGTCTCACCTGCACTGATCTGCCAAGCTGAGTTCCATGAGTTGACAGGGCACACCACAGGTCATCGCAGGGTCTGGAAGAACGGTGACCGTTCGGAACGACGAGAAATTTGGACGTGGTTTTTATGGCACTTTCAGGGCCAGAAAATCTCAAAATAAGTATAGAGAGAGAGAGATTGAGTGATTGGTATATATATATATATTATAGATATATAATTATATATATATATATATCATGATATATATATATAATGATATAGTCAATTGCGATCATCAACCAAATGGGGGTTCGCTTCTTCGGGATTTTCGCTGAAAACCATGGCAATGTTGGCAATTTAAGTAGTTGTGGGTTCCTGTAAATTCTCCGTTCATCCAATTATTCTGGCATCTGATTTTGGCTGGTCCGAAAATTTCAGGTGTCCAGAAAATGGTGACAATCGCCAGAGGCTAAGGTTCTGACTGATATTTTCTCTGTCCACCATTAAGCTCGGACATTCTTGTGCTTGGAGCCAATCTATCCTGGCCGTGGCAATCCAGGTTGCTTGGGTCTTTGGAACCACACAGGTATGACTATGACCCTTCTGGGCTTCGAAATCTTGCCGAATCTTCAGCTTTCGTTGACGCCAAGCGAAGACTCGCAACCCAGCTGATCGCCTTGAGAGGAACAAGAGGATCCCCACGATCATAGACCCGAGGCCGCTCAGAATGCGGTGAAGCTGACATTTGCCTTGGACGTTGGATCAGGTTGGATCAGGTTGGATCCAGTGGTGACATGTCAGCCCTTCCAGGTCCCACTTCATCCAGGGAACCAGCAGCCGCATCAGGATCCACAGAAACCCTGATCTGAAACAGCTGCAGATGGATCTCATAGATCGCAAATGATGACAGATACATGATACTGCTGAGTTGGGTTTGCCCAAAAATGGAAATCAATAGATATGTTACAAAGTATCGCAATCTTCAAAAATGAGATTTTTTGGGTGCCCTCTTCTCAGGCAAACGCGATTTTAAATCTTTCAGACTCAACCGTCAAAAAAAACGAACTCGGCTGCAAGTTAGTCCAGTCCAGACTCCCAGACCCAGCCCTTTCATGCCATTCCCAAGGGTCCGCACGTTTTTTTCATTTTTATTTTTTTTTGTTTTCATAACGATCTCCATGTTGCTCCCTCAAAATATCTGGCACTTTTATTGGCAGCTAGGAGGGCCCAACGACCTGTGCCAACAGAAATCTCTCAAAAAAGAAAAAAGAAAAACTGTTCTTGGATAGAGCTGTCACCACCACAATCTGGATCGCCCCACGTCACAACTGATCCGGCCAGGATCGCAGCAAATGCTGAAT